ACACCATACAACATTATATGTATCAATATTAATAACTCCAGGAGTAAGCTGTCATAAGTTACACCACACAACATTACATGTGTCAACATTAATAACTCCAGGAGTAAGCTGTCATAAGTTACACCACACAACATTACATGTGTCAATATTAATAACTCCAGGAGTAAGCTGTCATAAGTTACACCACACATTACATGTGTCAGTAAAAGGATTGCATTCATCTGAAAAAATATTTTAAATTCAAATTTCAAACACTTGCCTCTAAAACCTTGATTTTTCAAGACTTACAAGGGCTCTTGAAATCAACCACCCCTCCAATAAGTACAAAATTCAACGTAAATTACTCATTATAAAATCATCATTGCTCAGACAAACCATAATTTTTATAGCCTTCAGTTTTGTTTGGCTACAGAGCCATCTAGTAGAAAATCAGACCCTTCTTGCCACACCCACCTGTCACATCCTCTCTTTCAGGATTTGTTAATAGTTCTCTCTTACATTTAATTTATATTATCTATAACCAATAGAAAGCCAAGGTTTTCATCTATCAATGACACATTACAGAGAATTGTCAATTTTACTGTTATTACAAGCTCTGTTCTCACAGGAAAAATAATGACTAGCTTGGATGATTTTTGTAACGGCTCTTGTCACATATAGTGAGAATATAGTTTCTGTATAAACAAGTTCTCTATATATATAATGCACAGCAATGGGCATATATATGCCTAAACTAAGTCACAATCCCCACTAAGCACATATAAACTTTTACCAGTAGAAATGCAGCCTTTTAAAATAAAACATACACATCTAAAACATCCCATTAAATAAACCTTCGTGTCTTTTAAGGTAATTATTCAATGAATGTGTGAAATAAAATTTAATGTTATTGTATTGAATTTTTTTTATTTTTACTCTTTCAATTCATACATAAAGATTGGCTCCCTAAAAACACCGATTGTATAGTGTACAGAGCATTTAATATCTACATCTTACAGTCATCTAATGTTCATCTTTTATTAGCTCATAATTCCTGTTTCATCCTGTACTTCTTTTTAAAGGAACACCAGATATTTATAAAAAGATAACTTCAAGGAGTAATGATAACATTGTTTACAGTAGAATTATGATGTTTTAGCTTATGTAAAATATAGACGAAACAAATCAACTTTTCAATACCTCTACGACCTTCGCAGTACCTTATTTAGTATTCTACAAAAGATTTGGGCACAATATACAAAGTTGTTTTTCTTGTAGGCAGGCAAGAGGATAATAATAAGAAGAATTACAAACAGGCTATTTTGAGCAGATTTTCTTTTCCTTGTAAGTTTAACGTGTGCTTTTTTTGTGCATTTTTATATGTGTACAGCCATAGCAGACAATAGTAAAGGTTTTAAAGTGTTGTTTAAACTGAATCTACTGTTTAAGGTGCTTTTTGCTCAAACATTCTATTATGGTTTTGTGCAATTCCTTGCGATCCCTATTATGAACCAGTTGTGATTGATTATGTGATTTTTAAGCATCAGAAGTGCCGTATAGAATTTAACTTGTACTCAGCAAATAGCAAAAGCTTGTTTTCATGAGTTACTAATCAAATAATTAATAGGAATCATCTTGTTATGGTTTTACTATAACTAAAGTAAAATAAATATTTGCATAGATACTATCTCTTATTCCTACCTTCACAATGAGGGTCCACTTGGCTAAGGACAGCCCAAATCCAGCTAGGGCTCCATACCGCCCAGCCAATGTGTGGCAGAAACAAACCAGAAGAAGAAATCCCACCCAGTTGAACAGGAACGCAACTTGAATGAAATAAATTACTAAAATTTTAAACTTCAATATAAGCCAAGAAAATTTTCATATAGTATTTTTCAGTAAACTAATAAAAATCATCATCTTAAATTTCTGATGAAAATATGCAAAATTTTGTACCTCTTCATTGTACTATCAACAAAAGAACAAATACCAAATATTAGCATATCTTACAAGTAAAACACTAAAAATAAATTGAAAGCCAAATACCAGACATGGAATAAATTTCCTTTACTGATGAAAGTATCTTCATTGACACTCCCCCAGACAAAAGAAAGAAAAAGTAGATATGTTATTTATTACTCTAAAAAAAATACTATAAAAAATAGATGCTGTTGACTAGTCATTAAATTGCAGTTTAATTTAAATCTGTATGTAATTTCTAGATACAATTATTATAATATACCTCTATGACTAAAAAACTTTTAGTTTAGGGCTAATTACACCCTTTCACCATGTTGTTAGAAATGTTTTTCCATAACTGATCTCCTAAAAGTTAATCTAATTTTGTAAGTAAATAACTAAATAAAATTTAATTTATTTAAGTACCTTTTCCTCTTATGTTTTTTTTTCCCTCATAATTAGTACTTCTACTTGAAATAGCTTTCCCACACAAGTATTTTACCTAAGATTTTAACCCTTACATCACACTTTTTTTTCATACCATTCATTTCTGGTAGTTCACATATAGAATATTTTATGTTTCTGCTTATCAAATGCTCGAGGTAAACTACATGAAATCTTTCATTTTCTATATAGAATAAATACAAAACCCCAGTAGTAATTAGTAAGATTGGTTGCAATATTCACAGTATTTTTGTTTAAATTTTTTATGTGTTGAATGTTACAATGGATCCTGAAACCAAAAAAAAGTTATACACCCATAATCAATGAAGTATATATTCAAAAATCCAATGAGGTCCATGAGGACTCCACTGGTGATTCTAGGATTGTCTTTTGTTGAGATTTTTGCTTTACAACAAAAGGATCTTAAGTATAGTATTTAAAAATGTAGTAATCTTATTACAAAAAGAAGTTTCTTTCCAGAATATGACAAAAAATATATAGTTTTAACATCTTTTATACATTTGATGAAATTTACCAATAACACTTGTGAATATTCAAGACCTTGTTTTTTTGCACTGTGCTATAGGAGGACTTATTCAAAGTATATATATATATATTGCAACATAAAACAGCCACCATTTAAAGACAAGCTTTACAAAAAACTTGCATGATATAAATTTTGGCACTTTGCTATAGTCAAGTAGGTTTATCTTTTGTTATTGAAGACTACCATTTTAAATACTTTTTTCCATCATTGCTTTAGAATCAGTCAAAAGATAGCATATTGAAAAACTAGAAAGACCAATAAACTGTTATCAAAATCACCATGACATAATATAAATAATCACATCTAATGGTAAACATATCAAATCAAAGAATATTTTATTACACAATATTATTAACCACATTGATCATCAATATAACAGTTGTTGGATATACAAGACTGGTTAGTTTAAGAGTTATTATTTAGTTTATTTGGTGATTAAATGGTTATTTACCTTTTATAACAAGAGAGTTAAAAGTAATTATTTTAAAGGTGATAGTTGTGACAAGTTTCATTATGTAACTCGGTAAGAATCATATGTTGTGTGTGTGTGGTTCAATTGCTATAGTATTGTTGACGACAAGTTACCCGAATCTTCGGTATTTTTCTCATTACCTTTAGTGAGTATTGCTACATTATAGCATCGCTTGTGTAGTTTATAGAACGTTTGAGGCCTCAGTGAACAATGTATAAATATAGGCGACCAAGCAAACGCATGTCAAGTTCAGTCAGAAAAAGGTTAGAAAACGTGAAGTTCGCTGGCGCGAGAGTGATTAGCCATAACGGGTGATATTTTAAAGTGAGTTTCACAGTTTCATAGAGATAAGGAGAATAAGTTGTCTTTTCAAAGTAATTGAACCCATCTGTGTGGACTTTGTTGAAAAGGAGACAATTATTTAAAGTTCGAAATACAACTGTGGTAACCCACAGAGTAACATAAGCGAATCTATTGCAGGTTGTACAGTAACAACCAAAGTATAGAAAAATAGTTCATCTTGTTTTAGATACAACTTTAATATCGTATAGTGTAAAAAACTTTTGTACGTTCATTTGACTTGTTTTGAATATATTATTTTAAAACAATTATTTTTTGTGTGCTGTCCATTTATTGTTTGAATTCATCAACAACAAATCACAGACACCTACTGTAGAAGAATCCCAGCCCATATACAAAACCCTGACAACAGTTGTTCTATAGTTTTCATGCTTGTTTTTAGAACACAATGAAAAAAGAAATATATAAAACAAAAATCAGACAATCACCAATCAACTCATCATAAAACAAAGCAACATTTTTTAAAGATACAAGAGAAATTCGTTTTTGCTAATGACAGTGTATCAGTTATTAAGTCTTCAGTTTGCAAAATATCTAACTTGGTCCACAATTCTCAAAAACAAAAGTAAAAAGATATAACAAAAAATAAAAATTCAGAAAGCATGACTTCATTTCACTGGAGAAAATAGCACATTAATCAGAAAAAGCAGCAAAATGCAAGATCATTCTCAATAGCAAAAAAAACATTTACTAAAAGGAAGAACAAAAACTAGAAATACTGGATTACTATTTTATAAACTACAGTAAATTTATAAGCTTATAATAATATGAATGTCATTATGTCCAACAGATTATCCCTCTAATATTTTACACAACATTGAAATTGATAGAAAATATTTTCTCACCAAAAAATGAAGTGAAGAATAAGAAGTCTGTTCCAAGAATTTCTTCACCATGAGACCACAGTGAATTAACATCCTCACCCTGCAAACATATAAATATTATTATTTCTATGTGTCAAAAATGGTATCTTAGCAATGCAATTAAAAGTGCAAAATATCCTTGTAAGAACTGTTTTAGTTCTAACAGGCTTCTTCTGTAACAAATTCTAAACGTTTTAAAATATCCAAAATCTAGAAGTTTTTCTAGAAGGTATTCAACTTGTACTCTTTCTACTTACAACGGAAAAATCTTCATAAAATAATGATATAATACTTCATTACTAAAATTAATATTACCATCTATATTTTCAACAAATTTTAAACATTTCAAAATATTTTATCTAAAATCTACACATTTTTTCTGCAAATCTGTGTGTCTGTCTGTTATCTAACTACTCCCAGGTCACTGGGCCAATCTCACTGAAACTTTGTGGTATGATAATTTGGAACAAGGAGCATGTTAATGGGGGGTTTACAACCCCTTCCGCTATTGATGTTACTGGGCTTTTATTATCTTTGACATAAGCTAACATTAACTACATTCATAGATGGTACCACATTCTTAAACCACACAAAAAAAACTTAACTTTTTTATAACACAACATGCAAACATTGTGGAAGGAGGGCACATAAACATCTTATATATATATATATATCTCAGGGTGTGTATTAACACTCTCTAAGGAGGAATGCAATGAACAAAAATGGCTGCTACTATTGAAATAATACATAAACTGCGATGAAGTTTATATTCCAACAGCAACATATTTACAGCTGTTTCTTGAGTTATGTCCACTTGCTACTTTGATCCATAATCTTACAACTTCATCCCATAAGACACTTCTGCAGCCAATGACTGTCAATTAATTAATAACGTGAACCAGTGTTGAAAGACATATAGAGCTGGGTGTTGAAAACAGTTAACATAAAGTACCCCTACTGCCACTAGCTGCTACATCTTCGTACGAAATCACCCTGACCATCGCACATGTATACCATGTTTTGAAATTATACATAGTGAGTTCTTAGAGCTTATAAAATACTCTGGGTGAGGTAATAATGAATACTGTAATAACATGTTATGTTATAAATAAATTGTGAGAAAGTTAGGATTTTTGTGTTATATATCATAGCATCCACACTAACATTATTTTAAGGTCATAACCCGGAAAAAAAACAGGTACTACAGCTTGTAATGATATAATACTTTCTTACTGAAGTTTTAATATCAAATACTAAAATATATAAAATTAATCCATTTCATTCAGTTCCAATATACATAAAACTTAGTTCCCAAGGCAATTTTTAAGAATTTGTTCTACATATGATAAAGTCAGTGTAAAAACTTCTAAAAACAAGAGTATTTGACATGGTTTTGGTAAAAGTATGTAAAAATTAAGCAACAGACCAAATATCTGACATAGTGAATATTTTCACTTCAAAATGATAGTCTATGGATATCTTTTGAGAAAAAAATGTACTGATAATATATAATAAAATCTTAATTCTAGGGAACAGGATATGCAGAATTAGGAGTCAGCTTCATAAAGGTTAGAGGGCTCTGTAATACGTAAGGCACCACTCTCCAATTACATGGTGTCTTAATACACTTAAAAAAAATGGTAAAAGATATACTTTTCAGAGAAACTTGACACATATTTACAAAGTATGCAATTTTTTTAATCAATGAAACCATAAATTGTTATATAGCATAAACAAGTATATATTTTGACATGTTTCCAAATTTTTGCAAAACAAAATTAAGTTCAAAACCTCATTGTTTTATTGTTCTTTTTTTAGAAAAAGCAACTTAAAACTGAATTACCTGTCTTTGATCTTCACCCCCTTCCAAAATTTTTGATCTCTGGACTTCTTCATAAGTAGGGAGTTCTGCATCAGCTGCATCATATGGAGGAGGCACTGGTACTGTGTTTTGACCTTTGGGTGAACTCAATTGATTGATATTGCCATCTGTTGAGCAAAAGACAAAACAAATATTTCACATTCTATAAAATTCACAACATAAAATGCTTTTCTTTTTTTAGTGATGTATATAACTAAGTGATTTATATACATTTAGCATTCCACACAATATTTTTAAAGTTTTACACCAAATTTAGGCACTTAATAAAAAATATCAAATAAATAATCTCATAATTTAGAAAATCAAAATGTCATTAAATGCATAGTTTTTGTTTATATACAATGTTAAAAAACTTGACATTTCTTATTGCCACAAGTAACATAGTTTAATGTTATTACTGATATAATGATTCTTCAAAGACCTTGATTTTAAATATCAACTGGATATCAAATATTTTTAATGACTTCTGGCTGCTAAGAATGTTTCATGACTTAATTAACTGGTGCTAAATATTTTCTGTGGTCAAAAATTGCTTTGCACAATCTTGGTTTAAGTTTAATAGTTCCAACTAGGAGATATCATTACCTTAATTATAAATACTAAACACCACATTCAAAACAATCCTTAAAAGAAATGGATAATCACAGCATGGTCTCATTCTGTAATTTAATTTCAAAACATCAACTGACAAATATTAGGTTGTTTAAATGAGCACAGGATCTGCATTTTGATTCACTTTCAACTGCTTGAAAATAAAATTAGGTAAATAAATTTAACTGAATGAATGAAACTGTGTACGTTAATTTTTAAATTATAAAAAAAATGAGTTTGTGAAGGTATTATTTTCCTATCTTAAATATATGCATACATACACTAAATGGGTGTAATTTCTCAGGTGTTTGGTAAATTTCCATTGAATATTGTAAGTTAATTGTAATGCCTAAAAATATTGTTATTGGAGAAGAGAGAATGTGATCAAAAAAACTGGTTAAGATGAAAAAAAATAACATTTCAAAACAAAATGTTGCAAAATATGAATCTACTTTAGAACTTAAACTATGAAACATTTCTAACTTTCTGCTTCACAAACAGCACCTATACAGCATATATTACAAAAATCTATGAAGTCTAAATATTGCACACACACACACACACACACCTTCATTTGTGTAATTACTAGCCTCTTCTGAGTGTCCACCTATAGCTCCTTCTGCTACAAGCTCATCATATGCAGGAGGAGGAATACCCTGTGGAGGCACCATCAATGAGGCAGTAGGGGTTGGAGAAGAATCCCCATCCTCTTGTTGTTTCAGCTAAGATATTGCAATGTTGCTTGATTATTGTTAGTAAATAGACTGATTCGAAGCTATCTTACATCCAAACTCTTCAATTTTTATATATATACAACAAGTGGTTATTTTGTCCTCATGAGGACAAATTGTCCTCATCATAAATAGAAACATATCTATCATATAGTTACAGTGTTGGCCTTAGGTTCTACACTTTAAGGTACCTATGTCCCCTTGTTTCCAAATTAAAAGGACACAATGGAAGTTTTAAGTGACACCCATGAGATGTTTTTTTCATATTGAAAAACATTACTAAAGATGAACAATAATATTTAGTTGATGGAATAAATTGTTTCGATAGTTACTTCCACATTAAACAAGTTATGTTAGAACACCTTTTAAGTTTCCAAAGTGAAATTTTAAATAATCTGCAGGGTTGTAGCACATTAGATACATCTAAATTAGCTCAACCTGGTACATCATGAGTAGGTGCATCATTAGCACACTGATATTATCATCTTAAATAGTAGTTTAGAGGTTATCTTGTATGTATTTTTATTTCTTGTCCTTTCTTTTACATGCAGACTTACATTAATGAGCCATAATCAACGTAAAGAAATGTAAAAATAGTTATGCACCTAGCCATGATCAGTGTGGCTGGCACCCTATTTGTTCACCATGGAGGCAAGGCTTGCCAATGTGAAAGAAAACAAAAACATTCTAGCCTTGTTTTGCATGTATTGGAAATCCATTTTAGAGACACTTTGATCATTCACAGGTGCAGTGATTGTAGTTATTACTTATAAGAATCAGAAATACTCTTTTGGAAACATATAGGTCTACTTGTAGAAATTTACATTTGTGATGTTTGACAGGTCTACTGAGTGGCTGGTACACCACCAAGTCTGCAATGTACTGTTCTTAACATGACACACACTCATACAAAGTGCAGTATTCCCACAATCCTGTGTTCTCGGCACAACACTTTAGTTACTTGACTGTAATGTTATCCTTAATCTGTGCACTTTCAAACATAAAATACAGAAGGATTGAAATATCTATGATTTTTTGGTTATTACATTAGAGATTCATCTTACAATACAGCAAAATAAATGTGGCTAATTTATGCAACTTTTTCAGTATCTTCATGACTATACAATCATCTCATTAGGCTTATATATAAAGTTTTATTGCTATTTTTGATTAACTTTAATTACCTATTATTTTTAACCACATATCAATCAGATATTGTTGAAGCATATCAGAGATAGATGGTATTCAATGTATTTAAACAGCTAAAGATATAATTACTATTTAATCAACAAAAATGAATACATATCACATAAGTATAAACATACTAATGTTTACTGTTTTTTACTGAAGAATGTGATTTCATTATTTACAGTTTTAAGGAACATTTTCTAACAAATGATATAATACCATACAATAGTGCCATTAAGCCAATTAGAAATAATTATGCAAATGAAAATTACCTTAAACATTACAACAGTGTCAATAAAGCTAATACAAAAAATTAAAGCTTGGTATATCATCTCTAGCAGAAAACAGTTGACTTACCATTTGATAAGCCACAGATGTTTGTTCTCTTTCCATTTACTTTAACAGCAGCTTGCTCATATTCCACACACAAGATTTTCTGTTGAGAACCAGGTAATTTAACACTTGTAGAAAAATACTCTTAATAATTGTGCATTTTCATTACAGCTTACATAAGTAACTCCTCAAAATTTACTCCTATATGCATAAAATCACAACTGTTTATAAAGTATTTTTAGACAGTAGAACATGCAGTTTTCATACAAAATAATTTAGTTACCATTACATGTATAATTTTACTACTGTTGTTTCCAGATTTGTACCAAATACTAGAGATTGGTATCTGCATTAGGAATGCATTATGTTCGATATTCAGTTTCATCCAAATAACATTTGTGTTGGAAGTTATAAGACATCAATGATAAAAAAAAATCACAATATAAACCAATTATAGGAAATTATTGTCCATAGATGAATTAGAAACTTCAATAAACATTTACACTTAATATCTCAAACTTCAATGATATATATACAACACACAAAGCATTTTGCAAGTTACTGCACAAGCTAATACTACATAAGCAGTAAGAAACAGTTAACAGACCTCAAGCTCTCAATATACCACTAGATTCAGACAAGCAAAAATGTATGAATAAGTAATCAACGAATCTAATGCAATATTGGTACATCAAAATTATTAGGGTACTTAAGCTACAAAAATATTAACACAATCTGACATGAAAAATACTTCCAGTAAGATGCTTCATCAAAATAAAATACTGTAGTAACAAGCAGAAAGTAAATCTAATATAAATTTACATTCTCATGAAAGCTATTTCAAGTCACTAACATATATGCATATACACAAAACTGGTTATATTACTAACAGTTCTTATTCCTATGTAAAACAAACTTGGTTTGTAACAAATACATGAAACTAAAATATTTAACAGTACCATCACTTCAGTGACAAGAAACACTATAACTTGTGTGTGCAATTAGGAAATGCTTATCTAATATCAATTTAAATTAGATCTAAGCTAAGAGAGCATACAATATCATTGTAACACAGTGCAAAAACCAAACCCAGTCTCTCTTACATTTACACTATCATTAGGCATCTACAAGTCAAGGGTTCAGAATATAAAGACCAAGCTTGAAAACTGGTAGAAACATTACATCCATTTAAAATTTAAGATAACTCTCTAAGTACCATGTCCTGAATAGAACAGATATTAGTGTTTTAAGTTTTCATTATTAAGGAAACCTTAAAATTGGTTTTAATTATAAGCCTAAAAAAAGGTTTACGGCTATGTCTAGAGTTAGATTACATTGTTCAAAAGAAATGTATTTTATTTCTGGTTAAAAAGAGTTATTAAAATATTTCTAAATTGAACTTATTGTTATTGACCTTAGATTTAGGCCTTCACACAATAGGTGCATCCAATTAACTTAGTACTACGCATGGTACAGTGCACTATCATTTGAGAATCCAATTTTCAATAAATAGGCCAACAATAACTTACTAAAAAATAAAAATACTATATATATATATATATATATATATATATATATGTTGTGACCTATTTACTAGACTG